CCTACTCGACCTACTACACCTGGAGCAGGAGGGAAGTATACGCCCTCTTTATCCTTTTTTTTTTTTTTAAAAAAGTTGTCCGTTAGTTGGCGGAATTCTCGGCGAGCTGAGCGCGCAGATCGCAGCGGGACGCCCTTCGCTCGCCTGCTGCTCACTCTCGGTGCAACAACACTCCCTCCCTTTCCTCTAGCCCTGTGGCGTTACGGGCCAAGCTCAACCTCGCCCTCAAACTCTACTACTGGATTTCAGCGCGGCATTTCCCCTGCTGCTTCGTTGGTAGAAAAGTTTCGTACACGACTCGTACATTTCGCTGTTAAAAGTTTGTTCCTATCGTTTGAAACCGTTAACCTCCCCCCCCCCCAGTGGCATGGTGATATGGCAGTCGAAAACACTTTTACTTCAAGGCTCAATTGAAAGGACAACCCCACCAAACAGATAGGGATCTAATGCTTTCTGAGGTAAGTAAGATGTTGTCAGTGCGGTGAGTCCCGAGCAATCGAGTGGCGCCATGCCTTAGTGACAAAACACAAATAAAGTTAGAGATGTTTTCCTACCTGGCAGGCGATCCACCTCCCCACCTATACGGCCGGCTAGGGCCACTGAGGAGAGGTCCTATTTGAGAGCGGCACAAATGGAAACCCAAGTGTAACTAGCACACGGACACGCCCCTTATACTTTAATGTACTCACTCAGTGCCCCATGCATTTTAATCCTGCGCGAGAGTTGATCAACGGGTGGCTGGATTTGATAAATACTAAATTTATTCTCTCCACGTGTGAGCCGGGGAGCGCAGGCACGTGTCGTACACACGTTAAAAAAAAACGACGCGTCCAGAGTTTCAAGCAGTTGTGAAAAAACAATGACGTTCCCATGTACTTGTTTTTTGTGGGAGTTAACTCATATGCTTACTATATGGTTATTTGAAAACCTGGCCGTCCTTTTTTTATGGTATCGACCTCCTAGGAAAAAAGCATGTTCCGGCTTCGTACATTTGCAATGATTGCAAAGACATGCTCTCCATTAGCCTTTAAAGTGGCAAATAACCAAAAAAATATTTGAAGATATATTCTATGGATTGTATTTTTTCACAGTGGGGGGCCGGGGGAGGGACGGCACCCTGCTGCCTGCTACCCGGAGCCGCTGTCGCTCGCTGCACACGGCAGAGCTCGGTACTGTACGTGCGAATATTGCTGCTAGGGCTCCCGTGGTGGTGGTGGAAGAAGAGGGAGGAGGAAGGAGGAGGGAGGGAGAAAGGAGGGAATAGCGGGAGGGGAAGGGAGGGGAGGTATTCAGAGTGGACCGCACTGATGATAACCGGCCGTGTGAATAACGCGCCATAACGTACCCATCAGCTCGCGGGCGCGGCACTCGTCTAATTACAAGCGCAATAACCGTAATTACGCGTGCCCCTCTGTGCGTGCGTTTGCATTTGCTATTGCTCTCTCTGCTCCTGCCGCTGCTGCTGCTGCAAGCGAGGCCGCTGCGGAGGATGAGGGGTGCTCCGGGAGGAGGGGGGGGGCAGGCTCGGATGATGTTTGGTTTATGGAGCCTATTCCGTTGCAGACAACGGCGAAATGAGGAGATGGATGGTGTGGGGACCAGGGCGGGAGGGGGGGGGGAGGGTTTGGTTGGTGGACGAAGGGCGAGCAAAGCAGCGCCAACGAGCGCGACGGGCAAGAAGAGCCGGTGCGCGGCAGAGCGAAAAAGGGACGGAGTGAGTGCGACAGAGAGAAGATGCGATCTCCATCATCCTCATCTCGACGAATCCCCAGGCAGAAGTAATGTACGCGGATCTGAATAACAGCGTGTATTTTGATGCGGAATGACCGTGACGGGGCGCAGCCCGCTGCACACTTGGAGCAGAGTTACCAACATTGTATGGTCGCTAAGCCATGGAAGAGAGGGGCAGAAGAGGGGGGCTTTGGAGATGCTCGTTCGAAATTGGCTGTTTGCGTATACAATCAGTGAATTTTCTGTACAATTGCATTTTATTGGGTAGCGTTTATTTCAGAATCGTGAATTATCCAGGCGAGATAGGGAGGAGGGACCCACGCTGGCGCCAGCCTGGTGCAGCCCCCTGAGCTGAAATAATTTAACGACGTTTTCTTGTTTCTTTTTTTTTCCTCCCTCGGCGACATCACGCCATCCTTGCTCCCTCGACCTGATTAAAACGTTCCGCCGGCAGGTAGGAGTGCAGCGCGCACACGTACACACTCATCAAGTTTCACGGCCGCTCCAAAGCCTTGCCGGGAGAGACGCGACGCATCAGGAGAGAGCGAAGCACGGATGTAGAGTGCGGGATATATGGATGGGATGTAAGGAAGGGTTGGGGGGAGGGGCGCTATTTCGCCCATGTGCTCGCTCTCCCTAAGCTCGACTCGCCTTAAGCTCCACGACCGGTGCACACACACACATCGCACTCACACACTCGCACAAGCACGCGGACACTCAACGCCATCAGTTACTATACTCTCCTGTCATACCGGCTCTAAAAGCCAAGTCCTTCGTCTCCTGTAGCCGCCTACCCTCTCACTCCGTGGAACTCTCGAGCAGGTCTCATGTCGGAAGCAGCCGGGCCCGTCAAGCGCTCCATACTACAAGAGCGCGCGCGCGCTCTCTCTCGGGTGGAATTCACTCACAAATTAATAAAGGAATGACAGATACAACACAAATATTTTACACATGGAAGGGACAGCCGGGGAAAGCGACGTTGAAAAGTTTTCGTCTCACAACCACAACAAAAAAGAATCGTGAGAGATTTTTCATGACAAGACTAGAAAAGGCATAGTTAGTGCGAACTTATTTCCTGCTAAGTACCATACAGCCTAATTACTAAACCCCAGTAAATCAGATTCCATAAGTTTTATGTAATAGTGCATGTTTTCACATTTGACCAGAATATTATGTTCTGTATTGCACTGCACTATTAAAACTATAGGACGAGGACGTGACACAACCTCTTACCACAATTAATTGTAATTCAAACCGTTCGTTCAGACTTCGACATAACAATAAGACTTCGACATAACAATAAGACTTCGACCGAGACTTCGACATAACAATAAGACTTCGACATAACAATAAGACTTCGACATAACAATTTTAATTTTAAAGGGATAAATTGTATTGTTTTTTTTTTTTTTGTATGTTAATTATTGAATGAGGTTTTCTTGACAGCTGTGCTGTTAGAATTTACTCGTGCCCCCATATCCTCATCCCTCGCAGCAGCGTCGGGAGGGAGCGTGTGGCGTGGCTCGGCGAGCGCGCACTCAACCAGCGCGCTGAGCCAGGCCGCCAGTCGTCGGTGAGCACGGCGCCCGGAACCGCACGACGACTCCACCCGACCTGGCGGGCCCAGCCGTGAACCCCAACACACCAACGGACTGTTGTTGTGAATTTTCCACGCCGTTTGCTGGAAATAATGGCAAGCGCGTCCCAGGAAGAGTGGGAAAGGAGGGGGGGGGGGGGAGGTTGACACCGGCGGAGGGCTGGAGAAGCAGCAGGATGTGGCGCGGGGCCAAGCCCAGGGGTAGTCGGGTCGGCGGCGTGTGGAACATGTACTGCCCGCAGGGATAATAGATAGGAAACGGGGGTGGAAATAATAATAAAATAAAAATATTCAAAAAAAAGGAAGAAAAGAATAAACGAGGTATAAAAATACCGCAGCGGCGAGTCCAGCCAGCAGCCCGTCCCGTCCAGGCCGGCCGGGGCCGGGCGGCGCAGACAGTTCAGCCGCACAGCATGAATAATGGAGCCGCACAGCGCAGCACAGCGCGCCTCGGCCTGTGATCTGCTTAGGGGGTGGAAGCGCACGAGACGCCGGCACTACTAACTATCTAGGCTTATGTGAAAAATTAGGAAATTTGCAATTTTGAATAAAAGGTGCACTGTGAGAAATAGGCTATAGGTTTTATACAGGAAAATTTACCTTGACGCGTGGCGTAAAATTACAATTCAAAAAAAGGAAACGTGTGCAAAAAGTAAAAACAAAGAAAAAAAAAAGGTCCGGGACGAACTGATAGGGCGTTTCTACCCTCTATCGTTACCTTCGCACAGCGTTTGCTAAGGCAGTAGTAGAGGGGGTACTTACGTTGAAACTGATGAGGAAAAAGTCGAGGGTAAAGACGATGGTCGTCATGGGATTAAAGTTTTTCTGCAACAGAAAAAAAAGAGAGAAAAAGATGAGCGAGGGGCCTCTTGTACATAGCGAACGGCGGGGTGAGCGAGTGAGAGGATAATATACCAGATGGGCAGCTTGGAGGGCAAGAAAGAGGGGCGATATTATATAGCTCGGCCGAGGAGGAGGATAAGGAGATCCGTCCGGCTGGTCAAACACGTCGGAGAAAGTGAAAGTGATGCCCAAAGGGGGGAGGGGGATGGATAATCCGCTTGGGGCCGCCAGCTCGCGCCAGTCTGACAGGGGATCCATCGCGGGCTGCTGCCGAGGCTGCTGCCTCATTACGCGACTGCTCAGCTCATCCTCCAGCCTGTTAATCTTTGCCTGCGGCTGGAGCCGCTCGCTGGAGCCGCTCGCTGGAGCAGACGGGGGCCGCTGGCCTGGAGCCCCGCCACGAGAGCAGTTGGCAGCGGCGGTGACATCCAGCATAAAGATAAACGATGATATTGGCAAAATCGGGCGCGCAAAGCGATGCCGCTTTTGCACACGGCTATAATCATGACAAAATTAAGAGAATTAAACCCCTGACGCATCAAAAATGCAGAAACAAACCCTTCCATGGACCCAACTCTTCAAAATTATTACTATACTGATAATATGTGTAGTTGCAAGTGCTCAACAATACGGTTCAAAGTTTGAAGGGTTTGAATTGGTATTTGATTATTAAGGAGTGTTAAACAGTAAATTGAATACGTAAAAAGGTTTTCAACTTTAGGGATGGTCATGCAACTATAGACACTTTAAAGTTATCAAAGTTATACAACACGCACCGGTAAGCAAGAGAATCGCGCAAGAGGAAAAAGGGAGCAGCAAGCAACGCCCCCAAATCGGGCACGGCAGGAGGCAGGAGGAACGGGACCCCTCGTCGAATTAATCAAGATGCGGTTTATTGATGGGACCGTTCGCTCCATTCCAGCGTCTTCTCCGCTCCTCTCTTTCCCACTAACTCCCCAACGACTCACCCTTTCCGCCGCCCCTCTCCGTCGCGCTCAATCTGCTCGGCTAACGGCTGGCACCGTAATAATTTTCGGCCCGAGACACGCGGGGAGGAAGCCGTGAGCCCGGGAAAACAAGCCGTTTTGGTGGTGGGGCAGAAGATAGTAGAAAAAAAAAGAAAGTTAATCGAGTAATTATTTTTCTGTTTGCACGCTCTTCCACGCCCATACCTTCTGCTTGTAACGCAGCAGCTAGGTCGAAAAGAGTTGATTATGTTGGGTTTCGTATCGCACTTCTACTGGTAAACAAGTGTTCAAGTTTTTGCATGTCAATTGATTTTGAAGTTCAAGTGTGAATTTTCTAGACACATTTTGGTGATTAACTAGGTTATGTTAAACTTTTTAAATGTTTAAACTTTCGCCATACTTCCGAAAAGAATAGAAGCTGCACACCATATGGCATATGGCATAGAAGTTTGTAAGTCCAATAAGTGTGCAGAATTTTAAACGTTTTCATAAAACGTTTGCACACCACGCAAGTGCGCAACTTGAGTTAAACACCATCTACTGTGCAATTTATAACTTGCACACGTTGGCGTGCTATAATTTTGCACACTTGTTTTACCAAGTGTCTCGTTGGAGTAACTAAGGTATAGACGGTGCGTTTACTTGTTACTTTGTTTACTTGTTACTTGTTTCCTGGTTACTCGGTACTCGGTGCGTAAATCACGAGCCATACTGTTGTGCGGGTTAGCGAGGTATGCTTGTTCGGTGGGATCAAAGCGGTGTACAGCTCGGACTAAGCCCCCTCCCCT